ACTAAAGCAAATTATTTCACACCATATACAATAGCATATATTTTCTGAATATATATTTTCTGTATTTGAGTATTATACAGAATGAACTATTAGCAAGCAGCCAACAAAACGTATTCAATTAAGTTAAGATCATTGTAGAGGGAACAGAGGACAATTTTCACAGATTAGTATACCCCTTGTATACCAGTATAACTTAATGATAATAATAATGATAAACAATAATAATAATGAGATGGCACCGAGTAGATCAGATATTAGATTCACTGCATATGGAATCCTAGACACAGCAACTCCTCTCATTACAATTTGATCACAACTTCCGCTCTCAAGAATGAAGTGATTGAGGCTGCATGAGAAATTATTTTCACCTATACTTTCTACTATTTTTGTATGTCAATAAGGGTATGTGATTTAAAAAAAAAAAAAAAAAAAAGATTTTTATACATATTTTCAGGAAGAATTTAAGGAAGCTACCTATGAAAGGATGAAAAATTCTCTTCATCAATCTGCCAGAGAAGGGAAATTGAAATTGTTACAGCTTAAAATTTTATGCAGGTTTTATTAGACTTCATAGAAGCTTCTCAATAAAATATTACTTTCCAGTGACAATTACTGGAGATATTATCCAGAAGGTGAAGACATCATTCAGATCTTATTGGCATTTTATGTATTTAGGCTGTCTTTCACTGTTTAGTTACAGAATCATTCAGGAGTTTATGCATAAATAAACTGTTTTGGAAAGCAAAGATTTACTCTGTCTCTAGTCGCTGATGGGTATATCACGCTATGAGAGTTCACAAGAATGGTATTGTTGATCCTATTTGCTTCATAATATTTGACCTGAATGAAGTGAATAAATATCCCCAATCAGAGAGAAATTTGAATATAATTTCTATTACCATATTATTATAACTTCTTTCAAATACTTACTAAACCATTGATTATATTGCTAATCATATCCTTAGTGATACTATATTTCTAGTGTATGGACACTTAAGCATGGTTAAGACAATCATGCACTGCCTTTGGTAGAAAAAATACCTTTGCCTTATCCTTTGATTACTGTCTCTAATACCCATACCAAATTGCTTCCTTCTTAGCTTTAGTTCAATGTCTAGGATTTATCAATAAATATTGAAAAGTATTTATTTTACATTTCCCTCTACAATCTCAATTGTCCATTTAACAAAACCAACCAATAAATCCTTTGTCCTTGGAATTTTCTAAAAATGTAGCCCAAAACATTGAGAGTTCTTCCCTGACACACTTAAGATCTTTATATTTTCTGGAAGATAACATCCACTACGCTACAGATGGAAAATGGTTAAAACAAGCATTGTCTAAATAAAGTTTTACTCAGGGACACAAATCAAGTTCTCTAATTTATGCACCTCTCTCTCTTCTCTCACCTGCTTGCCTTTATTTTTATTTTTTTTTTTTAAGCAAATGGAAAAAAAATGTAGGTCCTGTTTCTTTGTTTATTTTTAGTGGGTCCATCCAATATTTCACCTGTTGACATTTTGCCATGTCATTCTCTAACAATGTGAACAACCTTCATAAGTTGCCTCTGCCAGATTTTGGACACCTAACAACCCATTTAGCCAAAGCCTAATATGCTGCAGTTTGTTGAAGTCCATGGGAATAATATATTTTGTTAAACTTAATCAAGTGCCCATCTGCTTTCTGCTTCAAGAATAATTTATCCTTCTTAGCTAAACAAACTTACTCTTGTTTATTTATTTCTTAAACCTTCAGACTGATGTACTGATTGTATAATTGCTGAACTTCTACAGGGCTTGTAATTTTGTCAGAGAAATGAGACAACGGTTAAGAATAAGCTCATGTACTTCAGAGCCTTCTTCATAGGCCTACATAAGCCTATGTAAATTGAAAGGTCCACTTTAAATTGAAAAATAAACAAATTCAGGTTACTCAGCATCAGATTTCAGTTACACTATTCTGTTCTACTTTAGCTGAGACTTCCCACTGGTCACTATATCCTGTATTTCAGGATTCAAAAGGGTAGGACAAGTTCCATTAGTACAAAAGAAATCTCTCTCTGTGGACCTGCTCCCACATCCATTGACATCCATGAAAGAACAAAGAGACAAAGACTAAAATGACTACAATCAAACACAATATAAAATAAAAGATTCTGACTTCTCATTTACTTCTAAACAATCTCATGTAAGAACATGAATCCTTGATACACTATCTACACATTAATAATATATATATAAACCTTTAAAATCATTAACTTTTTAGAAGATTTCAGTGAATAATTTCAGAGGATTATTACTTTGATGGGGAAATATTTATCTCTGCTAGTAGACTGTGGGTTTTGCAAGGTATTGAACAAATTCTTCAGCTTTGTTTACACCGTTAAAAAAAAAAAAAAGATTTTCTTACATATAGTCACAACTATATGTAGTGAAAGTAAACATGCAATATGTTTAAATCCCAAGGCATTCTAAAGAAAGCATGTAACTCAGTGTTCATGCCTAAAAATCAAATTATGATTTCTTTGGTAGCTTTGTTTCTCTAATTTGATTTTATTTTTTATTTTTATTTTTTATTTTTTTTTTCAATTTTAATGTTTAATCTGTGAAATAAGTGTGAACATTACACTGCAATTTTCATGTTCTACTTCTGTTCTTCCTTTATCACAATATACTGACTGGATGTCATTTGCAGAAACAGAAGAGAAATCTAGAGAAACCACTGGGGTTTTCAATATTTCAGTAGTCATAGCAAAAAGAGGCAAGTAGCAGATTAAAGAAGAAGGGCTGGAAGCCTTCAAATCTGTTAAAACTTCTTTTCTTTCCTTTTGTTGTTCTCATTTTGTTCCTTTTTATTGTCTCTCTCTCCTCCATCCCCCCCTCCCCCCCTCCTTTTTCTTCCTCCCCCAGCCACAGCTCTTGCTGAGACCTCATGATTAGAAAATTCAGGCCACGACTAGATTGACTAGCTCGGTAGAGTATCGTAGGGCATTTAGTCTGATACCGATAAGGAAAGTTATATAATTACTTCTGTATGTGCGGTTCTAGTTGCAAGGAGTTCCCTCACTGCAAGATGGTTGATTGCCTATGAACGAGGGTCTTGTTGAGACATTTTAGAAAGCTTGGCATATTCCATTTATAATATATGTTCTCTGACATAAAAGCCCCAGTTTGTGATTTTAAAATGTACTTTTTTACTAATAGTAAGTCATGCAAGCAAAAGTTGTTTCTGGAGATGAAACACTACAAGTAAGAACAGAAGGGTTTGGGGGATTCACGAGTACAAATACAATGAGAGAAAAAAATATTACACCTTGTCTTCAGAATATAATTCTAAAAATCCTAATAAATATTCCTCACCATTTCATATTCAAGATACAATTCTGCAAGAACTTAACTACATGCTTTACTTTGTAAGCTAAAGAAGTTGCAATAGAGACATGGACTAATAGAGAGCCAAAGTCTGGGAGCAAATCCTTGCGGAAAGAAAAACACACATCAGGCTGACATTTAACTGTTTTGCTGGAATCCTCAACTTCCATGCATAGCCTATATTTACACAGTATGATATATTATGCACTTTTTTTTTTTTTTTTTTTCCTCCTCCTTTCCTGTGTCCTGAAGGACATGGAATGTCGAATGGTGGAAGAAAGGGGTTCGGAAGATTTCTTCTTGTTCCCTCAGCTCAGCTAAAAGGTACAGGTCAAACCTGCCAAGATGTTCATTGTCTGACATGCAGGAATAATAAACACCCAGTGCCTCTAAAGGTAATTTTGGCATCTTCTGGTTATGACTGCAATCATTAAAAAACTCTCCCCACATTCTACATGAATGAATCTCTCTATGCCACAAGGGAAAAAAGTATGTAAGCCTGTATGCACAATAGAAAAATAGGACTATATACTAAGAGGATATTTCAACAACAAAATCCTAATAAATTTCTTTATTTCTTTTTAATGATCAACCCTATCAGGGAACACTTATTCTTCACTTTAGAACTTAATTCAGTGTGCAAGAAAACCCAAACACAAAGCAAAAACTAAAATCTACCAGCTTTTTGCAACACATCAGTATCCCATACCCCCACCCTTTTTTTTTTTGGATAAAATTCCTGCAGTGTTTTAGTGTTTCACTCTTACTTATTTCCTATTTTTAATCACAGTTTTATCTTCTATCTTCTTTGATGGAAAATCCCACATGGTTAATAGCTTTGAAATTAGCAGGCTCTTTATTTAGGATATATGCTAGTGTCATAATAGCAATGACTACAGACAGAATGTAACATAGACACTTAATTATTGGCTCTAGGAAAATCAAACAAGCATTCTTTCAGGAGGTTATTTACCTAGAAGCTAAACAACTGATAATATGATCCATACTTTTGAAATTATGCTGTTATAGTTTACTTTATAAAATATTTGAAGCAGATACTCCCAGGCTCATCCTCCTCCTTCAGAAATATGTCTATCTAGTAAGACTTATTGCTGTACTGCATATAATCTCATTTACATTATCACACACAGCACATCCAATAAAGTACATGTACATAGGAAATGTAAGGCTCAGAGTTTCCAAAAGTTGGGATTTACTTCTACAAGAAAGAAAGTTCTTCATCACAAGGATTTAACATGCACAGAGTTTAATCCAACTTTACTTGATCCATTCACTGCATGGAAAGATAATAACCGCACCTGTCCATTCAGAAAATGGGCCTCAATTTCCAAAACAGGAGGAAGGTTGCAGGAGGACTTGAAATCCCTTCCTGACTGAGGTAAGAAAAATCAAAGATGAAATGAAAGAGGATAAGATTAGATGTCACTTTTTAAGGAAAAAAAGGAACAAATAAAATCTAAGAAATTTCTACAACCTCATTTTCATCTGAAAACTGGCATTGCAGGATATTCATTAAAATTAAGATGTTTGACGGTGTCCTTGGCTAAGAATCCACAGTATAAAGAAGCATCAGCATCTTCACTAACACAAGGCAAAGTTGCACAGTACCTGAATAAGAAGGGCAGTGCAGATTTTGTGACAGTGACCATGGCCAGCCAACAGCCTGATTGTCTGACCAATCAGACTATAAGGCCAGTCTGAAGTGAAGCAGGCAAGGCAAGGTGCTAGAGCACGCACAAGCAAGCCTGCAGCTTGTGTCAGGCAAGAGCTAAGGTGAAAAGACTGAGGTAAAATGCAACTCTCATGCCACAGCAGAAAGGAATTCCAAAATGCTACTCACAGCTGTTTCTTTCCAGAGCAGTCAGATCTGAGGTCACACAGCTGCACCATACTTGATCTGAGCTTAAACACAGGCAGCTGTATCCCTTGCAGATAAGAAAAGTTCTTGCAGGACATATTGGTGCATTCCTAGTCCTGACATGGTAGCTACCAGCTGGGTGTTTGAGAAAAAAGACGAATTGGACCTTCTGAATAATGTTCTTACCAGCTGCCAATAATGTGTTTACAAATGTGCATTACTATGTTTTCTCTTTTATGTTTTGACAATTTATATATACACATATATTTTGCTTTATCTTAACCTTGTGTATACAGCAGGCTACGTCAGGGAAAAAAAAAAAAAAAAAAAAAAAGCAGCAGGCTCCAAAACATGCAGTTCTGTGGCAGTGTCAAGTCTTAGCAGTTGGAGTTTGCATCTCTACTGGTGTCTGACTTCCAAATACATTTTCTTTGGGTATTCAGAAATATGCATTTCAATCAGCAGCCCCTCTCTAGCTGAGCAACTCTCCTGAGAAACTAAGGTGGTGATTGAGCAAAAGCTACCGAGCTCTGCACTTGCTGGTGTCAGGAAAAATGAAAACGAATAGGATACCATGACAGTGAAATCCAGAAGAGATTTTATTCACATTCGTGCTTCCTTATTGCATGAAGGCCATAAACCGCTTACCCTTGGTCCTGGCCTTTAAAGAGATGGTGGGGCAAGTCACATTTTTGCTACAGCTGCAGGTTTTTTTTGCATGCACTTAGAGATCTTAGTAACAGTGTACTATAAATCCTGCTAGTAACAAAGGCTAAAATGTTGGTAAACAGCACAAAACATTCCTCAAACTAAGCATTAATGCAGAAGGCAAATGAGTTCATTATGGTATCAAAACAAAAAGAATTTTAAACAATACCCAGTAATGGCTGTGTGGGTCAGCTTTATTACGACTTGGTTGCCAAGATTTTATGACTCTGAGTAAAAAATTAAATATTTAATATCTAATCTAACATCTGCATATAAATGATGCAAGTCCATCAAAAATCACCTGAATATCCCGATAGCTCAAGCTTTAAAAACATTAGGTTTTAAACAGAATGAAGTTAAAGCAAAAAGGAATTTTCTATTGAGAGTTCAATAACTCTTCTGTGTTATGTAGCAAGAGCATAAATATCTGCAACCAATAAAAAATAGTTTGTATCACCACAGCTGGAGGAACATAAAGGAAGGAACTACACAAACATTCCTTTGTAGCACTCCACTCAGAAGAGGAAAGCTTTCTGAAAAGAGTAGCAAAATGCTTAGAGTAGCCCAGGGTTCAGACATTCAATAGTGTTGGAAAGATTCATATTCAGAACTGAGCAGTGAGCATTTACGTAGATATTTTTGACAGATCCTACTTTTTTGTTAGCAAAAGAATTAATCAATACTAAATTTAACGCATCACAATGATACTCATCTTGGCTAATTTTGAAAGCAATCCGAGTGTGCATCTATATGCAGAACTTTGAGAGAAAATTCTAAAAAAAATGCTTTGCTTCATATGAAAAATAGGGAAAGATTAATATACTACACATAAATAAGTAGCGTAAATGTAGATAACCTGAAGTGCTTTTTAATAAGCATTTTTAAAATTTAAAGCCATTATACTTAATCTGCACAGCCATATTAAAAGGTCAGAATTAATGAGTGTCTCACAATAAAATCATGCAAATTATGTGAGACAGTCATCTTGCCAGTTTTAATAGCAGCTGACCATTATTATTCTAAATACATAGCCTCGTATTCAAATATACCTTATTGACAGATAGAATGTGCTGCTCAGTTATGCAGCAGGGCAATGAATAAAGGAAAAGAAATGAAGTAAAGTGAGCAGATATCTGGCATCAAAATAATGGCTCTGTGGGATACAAACAAGTAAAACATGGGGATGAAATGAATTGGAACTGAATCTATTTGCATTACGGATTGAACACGATGTGCTCAGTAGGAAGGCAAGCAACACTTCACTGAACAATAGCAAAATAAGTTGAATATCCCAGCTATGTTTTTATGTTCTAGAAATAAGCTTTTGTTGTTGTTAACACTTCAGCCACACTTTTTTTCTCACCAAAACTTGTAAAAATATATATATAAATCCTGTTTGCATCTCTATTTTCAAGTCATTCTATAGTTCTAAATATGTTCTAGTGTTATGGGAAAATTGACAGTTCTTACAGCTTTTCAATTACAGATTTGCTTTTAAATTTGTTACAGGCCCAGTATTATGCTTTGACTTCCTCTAGTAAATCTCTTAGTTTCAAAGTCCACACTCAAAGAGAATCAATTCACACTTTTCTAAGAATAAACATTTATCATGAAGAAGGCTAAAAAGATCCATTTGTTTAAATGTCACACCATTTTCACAGACTTAGAAGAATGGACAAATGGTATTTTCTGTTAAAAAATGAACTATAGTTTATAATTAACATAGCTTATAATTAGCACTGGAAAAAGATGAAAAATCACGGCATATGCTATTTAAGGTGTATCTTCCATTCTGGTCTCTTCCTTCTGTATTGCTCCTGACATAAAATGAGCTCAGCTTACCAAGGATTGCAGTTTTAAACCCATCTGTGTGACTGAAATTGGGGGAAATTTAACACTGAATTCTACATGTGCACAGTATAATAATAATAATAATAATAATAAACACAAAGTAAGAAAATATCTAAAATCTGTGCTAAATCTAGATCACTCTCTTTTATATTTCCTCTTTTGCCACTATTCTTACTGTGTAAGAGGTGACAGGAAGACACATTTAGATGTAAACTTTGCCTTTCCTCTAAAAGCATACAGAACGTATTTTTCATTTCCCACCCTGAAAATAAGATTTACATAGAACCTGAATGCTATATAGACTTGTACTTCTGTAGGAGATGCATCTCATTGAATGAAAGATCAGTTAAATAAAAATCTCACTTGTTTACATACTTATTGGAGAAGTCTAAAACTGAGGAAACAAACTGTCCCATGATATCTTGAGTATTTCACGTTAGACAGTATTCCTACTACTGAACCACCAACCTCATTTGGCATCTATAGATGTGAGAAAATGTACAAAAGGTACCACCTTAATTTTAAATATAGGAAACAAAAATGAAGGAAGAAAATCAGCTTTCCTTTATCTACTCTGATGGCCTACCTACACAAACACAACTATCTCTTAAATGACTTTCATTAATTTTTAGGAGATCTCTCCTTATTTCCCAGTTCTAGGACTACACATATTTTTAAATACTTGAAGTGTACTTTTGAACAAAAATGTTAATTCTTAACATGATTTAGGTAAACTTTCAGTCTGGCTCTAAATCTGCTATTCTGAAGAAATCTGTTTATTTTATCATAAGGTGTATGGTATTAGGGACATGGTTTAGTGGGTGATATTGGTGGTAGGAGGATGGTTGGACCAGATGATCTTGGAGGTCTTTTCCAACCTTAATGATTCCTTAACATATTTTAATATTCACTCTTTACTCATATTTCTATCCCTCCATTTCCCATTTAAAGAATTAGAAAAATAACTCTTCATACACAGCATGAGATTCTTTACATTCTGACAGTGTACAGAAATAGAAAGTGCAAAAGCATAGTGAGCTCCTCTAGCACTAATGAAATAACCCTTTCATGGTTTTAAAGCTCTTAAAAACCCTTAAAAAAACAAACAAACAACAACAACAACAACAAAAACACTTTTAAAACCCTTTCACAGTTTTAAAATTTGTATCACGTCCTTCTCTCAACTGTATGACTGCAGTTCTTTTAAAGTACATTTTTACATAATTAAGATATTTTGAAACTGTATATGGTGATATTTCAAAAGGACCTTGACAAAATCTCTAAGGTAATAAATGAACTTATCTCCACTGTTTTCTGTGTTTAACTTAACAGGAGTAAACTGGCTAGTATTCTACACTAAATGTAAAATAATATCTAAATAACGGACCAGTCTTTCAACTATTCTGAGGGAGAAGGCAACTTGAATTTTTCTTAGCCTGGTATAGCCTTAAGTATAACATTCTGTAGTATTGTAGATTTAATTTTTATGTGTAGGGAGAGACAGTAAATATTTCCTGTAGTAGGATATAATGAATTTCACAAGTTCATGCAAGGGAGAGACAAGAGGAATTTATACGCATTCCAACAAAGAAATAAAGACATAGAAACAACTTGTTGATCTTATCTTCTCAGAAATCTCTAAGAATTGTATAAATCAGACTGCTTTTCCAGTAGAATAATAATTATTTTTACAGATTTTCAGCATATAATGAATGCATTCAACTTTACCCTAGCAATTAATACAAGAGTTTTCTTGGCTTCAAAAGATTCAGTTTTAAAGTTATGCTTTTGAATACCATGTTTGAAAGATTTCAAAAATATTTATACAAACATAATTATCTATTACATTCAGTAAGATATCTACCAAAATATATGTAATTTTTGGTAAAACGATATTGCAGAGTTTTCTCATGAAGTTCTTTGTGACTCTTTCTAAATTAAATATGAGTGACTGTGACCATGATTTCTATTAAATTAATATTTTAAATCATCACCTAGCAGTCTACCAAATGAAACCTAAACTTATTGACAGAGGGAACGTACATGATATATCTATTTCCCTCTTTTTACCTACCTATTCTAAACTTCAGAAACTAAACTAGTAACTGATATAAATTGCTGTCACTGGAGGTCATAATGGAGATCCTTGGAGATCCTACCTTCTATACCAGTTCCTGAACTGAGAGTAGGCAATGTATTTATTTAAGGCAGAAATATGAATGTGGGACGTATCAACTATAAGCTTTGCACAGTTAGGACATTTTCTCACAACTGTATGTACTATTCCCCTTTTATTTCTTCTTACCATTGTAATAAATGGCTCAGTCTTCAAAATAGGACTATAATCAAAGTTTACAATTTATTAAAGGAATAGAGGTAAGC